TTTCCTGAAGGGGAAAAAAGAAGTTGATGGCATATTGAAACTGGTATCAGCTAATGTGATTCTTGCTGTAGTGAGAGGTGCTGTAATTTCATCATAGCATAAAATGAGTTGTTGTGCTAAGGAGGTAAGTGGCTCAAATGTAACAACTCAATGACATGCGTGTTATGTGAGTGTGTCAATACAAATGCAATTATTTAAACACTGTCTATGGAAGAGCACTTTGACTTCTAAAATGCACAACTCTGAAGTGTTTTTTAATGAAGAATAGAAACTAATGTGCATTTAATGACTTCAGAAAATATTGTGTATGGGATGTCTTGGAAATTTAGCAGTTAAATAACTGAACCCAGTCTGTGACCTTAGGAATCACAGGAACCCTTAGTGGGGAAATAATTTGCAAATGGTATCAAATGTAATGTAGCTCAGCCATTGCTTCTGTTCTGTAGATATGCTTTATAAAATGCTAGATAAAGCATTGTTAACATTCCATTTGTAAGGTGGAAAACCTGTCTGAGACCTTTGCTTTTTAAGAGTTATGAAAATCTTTATTGCGAAGTAAATTTCTTTGGAAGTTTACTTGTGTAAGGCGATGGTGGTGGGTTGTTTTAACATAGGCTATGTTGAGATCAGTGCCATCTTATTTTGAAGAGTTAGTGGTATCTTTGAAATTCAGCAAATGAGTTAAAATATAACTAATTGAGAACCTGAAACACTTATTTAAGACTTCCCTAACAGAAGCAGCGCTACATAAATGGCTTGGAGTAGTGCTTTGATAGTAGGATTTGAATATGACCACGTGTCTTTCCCTCCATACCACAGTTACCACCCACCAATACTCTGAAGGTGAATTTGTTATTCCAGTGAAAATAAACTGTGTGTAATATAGGTGTATTTGTACAGTTGAGCTCTCTTTAAAACTGCACTTATAATTTCTCAGTTGTTTTCAGGGAGGACTTAATGAGCTTGCAAGCATTCTGCATTATGTCTTTAAAGCAGAGTTGGGGAGATAATGGCTTCAGAGTTTCTGTGCTGATCTATAAAATCCTAGTGGACTTCATAAAAATGTAATTTAGTTAAACCTGTCTGTGCACAAATGATACTGGAGCCTTTGATGGGAAAATTGAACTGCCACTGTTGTGGTAGTTCCCACTGTACCCAATTTCCCATTAAGCAGAGTGGAAAACATTCTTTGGCTTTACCTCTCCCTCTTTCTTACTACTGGCACAACTAAGATGTGAACAACATTGCTGGTCAAGCCTTGCTTTACAATAGGCTTCCCCCTTTCCCCTTCCACTGTGCTTTGGCTCCAAGCTGTTAGATTTTATGAAATGCTGGTCACTAGGAAAGTTTGTTATGGTGAAAAAGCTGTTTTAATTATTTCTGGGCTTTCAAAATTTGTATTTGAAGCAATTTGTGTGCAGTCTGACATTAGAATATACATTGGATCATCTTCTAGGATTGTAACATATTAAAAATTAGTTTGTAGTATTATAATTGAAAGGCCTTTCTCTTCTGTTTGTGACTCTTTTCCAGGTGCATGTCTCATACAATGTGTTGCATACTGTAACATCAGGGTATTTTAATTTCTTTCAGTTACTTCACTGTCAAGGTACTGCCAAGGAACCGTGTTGATAGCCTTGAAGTTAATTGCAATCAGTTATTTGTTGTGCTTGAAACTGAGGGATTTGCAAGAAAAATTTGAGGCCTGCTTTTCTTTAGCAATCTCGCTGAATTAGTTCATAGAATCATAGAATAGTTAGGGTTGGAAAGGACCTTAAGATCATCAAGTTCCAATCCCCCTGCCATGGGCAGAGACACCTCGCACTAAACTATATCACCCAAGGCCTCGTCCAACCTGCCCTTGAACACTGCCAGGGATGGAGCATTCGCAACCTCCCTGGGCAACCCACTCCAGTGCCTCACCACCCTAACAGGAAAGAATTTCCTCCTTATATCCAATCTAAACTTCCCCTGTTCAAGTTTGAACCCATTACCCCTTGTCCTATCACTACAGTCCCTAATGAAGAGTCCCTGCCCAGCATCCCTATAGGCCCCCTTCAGATACTGGAAGGCTGCTATGAGGTCTCCACACAGCCTTCTCCAGGTGAACAGCCCCAACTTTCTCAGCCTATCTTCATATGGGAGGTGTTCCAGTCCCCTGATCATCTTCGTGGCCTCCTCTGGACTTGTTCCAGCAGTTCCATGTCCTTTTTATTTTGAGTTCGGTGTAGTTTCTGTATCTGATGTGCAAACAAAGCAAGCTATGGTTGGAAGTTATGCAGAAAAACAAAGTTTCCGTAACTAATTTCAGATACATGATGATAAACAACTGAAATTATTCTAATCTTCAAAAAAGAGACATAGCAGAAGGGTAAACAGCACATAGTATACCCAAAGCCATAGTAGCATCCTGGCTGGGTTTCAGGGTGGCTGAGGGTACTATGACTGCTCTCTAGCTGGAATCAGGGATCAGGTTGTGTCTGCCTTCTCCCTCTATCATCCCTTGGGGAAGGTGTGTGTGTTCATGTTGAGGTGCTGGTCCCAGCTCTGTGTCCATCCACTCCTCTGGCTTGTGCAGAGTGCAGCTCTGATCAGCTCAGGTGCAGTTGCTCTAGGGCTTAGGACGGCAGCCCTCTACTTGTGACATCTGCTGAACAGCCTGTGGCTTGGGCTGTAATTTTGCTCTGGTAACCAGGTGAAGGATTTGTGCTGCTGGACTTGCCAGGAGGCATACCTGGAGTCTGTAAAGGAGCTGAATGATGAACCTGTCTAGAGGAGCACCAAAGTGGGTGAGTTTTGCGTGGACTAGTTCAAAGTACTGCAATTGTACTACTTTGGCTCCAGCAATTTGTAGAGTCGCATCCATTTCACTTTGTGTGAATATCTAATGCTTTGGCCAATTTAAACCTTACTTACATTAGCTTAGTTTAAATTTGGTGTTTAAAGAGCGGTGATTATCTGTCTGCTTTAGAAATTCATAGTGATTTAGTGAGAACAATTTTAAGCTGATTTTAATTAAACCAAAGAACCTTTTCCATTTTTACAGATGAGGCCTGTGACTAGTCTTTGTAAATGGTGATAAAGTATATCCAGGCTTAGAATGACTTTTCTGCATGACTGATTTCTTCTGCTCAAGGGAAACTTAGGCTGTTATTCTGTATATAAGTTAAAAGAATTAGATTCTAAAGAACATTTTGTTCAATTTTTGTTCCCTTCCTCCAAAAGCGGTTCCTATTTGTTAAGACTTCTATTAAATTACTCCCAGTACAGCATTTCAGTGTCTTTTTATAGGGGACAGGCTGATGGACTCCCTGACCTTTTTTATTTCTGATTTCTGTGATGCTTTCTCCTCTGACAAAAGACAATGTAAGAGGCAGCTGGGGTATTCTAATTTATGGTGGTAGGAAGCAGAATACAGAAGCTTAACTGTAGTCACATGGTGAGATGTGCTGCTATTGTAGTATGTGGAAAATGTATTAATTGCTTTTGTTGAAGGTTATTTGGAGGAAGTGTAGTGAATGTTGGAAAAATTCTTCTGGGAAGTTCCAGGTCCAATGCTTAAATTGTTATATAGGATGTCATTGTATTGAGGTGTGTATGAAACCTGTGTTAGGAGTTGTTGAGGGGCTTAGATTACATGCACATATATCAATATAAAAATTGTCAAAGGGTTGTAATTAGAGATGAATATTAAGTTTATTGCATGTAAAGAAAAATATTGGAAACTTGTGTTTTTGGAAGAGCCCTGTGTGGGTGATGGGAATATTTCTGTCACCTGAGCTTTGGGCAATTGATTCCATTTCCTTGAGTAGTGGGCAGGTAATTGAAGGCATGATTCAGGTAGTCACTAGATCTCTTTGAAGGGTGATTCTGGTAAATAGGTCTGGTCAATATGTTTTTGTATTGCAAAATGGATCATGGTGCAGAGATTGTGTTCTCATTGATTGTGCGCAGGACAGATGAATGGAATACCTTTTGACTAGCAGCAAGTAAATCCATGCGAATTTGAAAGTAGTCACTATGTAATTTTTCACCCATATCTTTTTTTTCTACTATAAATGTGCAGAAAACAAATACTAAATACCACATTCTGATATCCTACCTTTAATGTTTGGTGTGTAGTGTTTTTTTAAAATTAATTTATTTATTTTTTATTTTTATCTTGCTTCTTTCTATTCTGCTCAACAACAGTAAATCCATCTTTTCAGCTATGTAAGTAAGGTATGTGTGGGGAAATTGAGCTATTGAGCTTTTTTCTTAATGATATCAATACTGCAGTAATGCTACCAATTATATGGTGGCATTAGTTTTCTAGAACCGACGTTCCTGTGTGCAAACCTTTCCCTTTAACATTGTATTTTGGACAATAGGTAGTACTGTAAAGCTAAATGGCAATGTGTAAAATATCTCATTAGACTGACATCTGCAGCTACAGACTGTTACAGAGTTGCATCTGTTGTGGAAGTAGAATCTGAATCATTTGCTCATACTAATAACACATGGATATGAACAGAAGAAACTGGATGTGAGTAACAACAGATTATGAACAAAATTTCTTTGCATGGTTCTCATCTTTTTGGTGAAAAATCAGTCCTATCCTAGGTGTCCTCATAAGTCTGAAAATCATTCTGGATCAGGGAGGCTTTGACCAGGTCTGTGCTTCACTGTGCTGCTAAGCAAATTGAGAATGAAAAAGCACAAGAGTGGTGCTATGAATAGGGAAGATGATGCAATTCATTGTACCCAAGTTTGTGTCTCAGTTACATTAGTGAGTTTGCTTAAAAGCAGGTGCAAACTCTTTAGAAAGTGAATGAATATACACAGCATTCTCTGGCAACACCTTTTCTCCTCTATCAGCATTATGGTCAGTGTCTTTGTTTTGTTGAAACAGAAAGCAATGCACTGTGTGAAATTCCTGAAATGATTATTTTCAGATGCTACAATATGTTAAGCCTAGGAAACTGTGGAAACACTTTAATGACTTTTTTTCCCTCCCCCAGATGGTCAGGACCACTTCATGCCTGCAGGCTCTCTTTGTAAAAAGAAGCTGGCAAAAAGACCTGGATACATGAGGCCAGAAGCTCAGCGACAGGTAGCTTTTCAGTCCCTGAGTGCCTGCAAACCATTCAGCCCAGAAGAGCTCAGACATGGCAAGCAGCACTGTGAACACCTTGAGAGCTGCTCTGTATGCAGACAATGCCAAAGTAACCTCGAGTTCTCATGCTGTAGTTCTGTAGTTTCTGCTAATGGGGTAGCAGCGTTGCCCGCTACTGGAAATATGCCAGGATGCCACAAAAATCTTCCATGTTGCAAGAGTCCGCAGTCAGAAAACACAGTGATAATGGTTCACTCTACTGCAGCAGCAAGGAAAGGAGATGTTTCTGCTGTATGCCCTACACAGCAGAAAAGTGATGGTGCTGAAGTGAGCAAGCCTGCAAACATGTGTGCTTTGGATCAGACAGAAGTGAGTAACAGCTGTGAATATCAAACCAGAGATGTCATTTCTTGTTCTGTTGGGGCACACGATAGCTTTAGTTCAAGTTTCAGTTTCATACAGCTTTCCCTGAACTCGGCATCTGGAGTAAGAGATTCTGAAGGCAAGTCAACTGTTGAGGAAACTAAGTATGTTCGACATCCCAGCACTGCAGGATATCTACAGAAGTCAAAAGTGATGATGCACGCTCATGAGCACTTGGGAGCTTTACATTGCTTCTCTAGGCCCTGTGAGGATTTGGAATCTGAAAATGAGACCACAGTGAATGATAAACTCCAGGACTGTGAGACTGTCTCTCTCTCAAATACAGATGCAACATATTCATACTCTGCGGATTCCTCAGATGCAGTATCTGCTGGCTCTTCTGTTTCCTCAGGCTATGAAAGCAGTTTTACTGTTACTGACCATAGCTGGGATACTTTGATAAAAAAGTATGAACCAGTGCTACAGGACTGCCTGCTTGGCAACCGTAGTACATTAAAGGTTAGTAAACTCACTTCATCTTTGCTTCCTCCCCGGCCCTCAAAACATTTGTATTTATAGAGCCAAAGTCAAAGCAGATGTAGGAGTTGGGATGTTAATGGCTTTTATTGCAATTGTTCATGAAGGTTTACAGTAGCACTCTGCATAATAAATGTGAGAACTGGTTTTGTTTTCTTTTTGGTCCTTTAAAAAAAGAAAAGTGATATTTTTATAGTACCCTATTCCTGTGTTTGACTGAAACTGATCGTCTTATTTCTGATATGTCACACATCAGTTTCTGAATTCAACAAATACCATTTTCTTTCACAGGTGTCTGTTTTGTCTGCAGTTTGGAATATGTGTAGTATGAAATTTGAGGGTGGTAGGAACTCTTTTCTTGACGCACCATGATTTAACAGCACTAAACTTCGTAACTAGAAATGCTTTAAGTTTAGCTGAGTTCTTGGAGTGAGGCGTCTACATGAGACTAACCTGTTGACTAATGATGGGTGGTCTCCCCACATGAAGAAAAATGAGGGTCAAGTCCTTGCTGTAACTCCAACCGGGAATTGAACCTTTTTTCCTTCCATGCCAGAGGAGTACTGGGCTATTGAGTCAGGAGTCCTTGTTTTCACATTTGTGTATACCCACGTATATATCAACCACACAGGCAGTCTCGTTCACTGTGTTTGTTTTTGTGGGAAGGGAAATTTTTAAGAAGGTTTAGCTATGTTTTGTTACAGAGTCTATGCAGAAAATGGTGGGATGGGCATTGGAGGGAAACTATTTTGAGCTTGCCTGCAATAAGGAGACAAATACTGGCTTGATTTCGTTTTTGTTTACAGTGCCTTAAGTGGCTGGTTGGGTTTTTTGTTTTGACACCTAATCTGGGCTTACAATGCTCTCTGACACTTACTTTTTGTAGAGGATGCATCTTGGACTCAGGCTAAGTTCTCTTACGTACAGGTTTCACACAAGTTTTTATGGAACATTTTCTTTGGCTTCATGCCTGGAATAAGAATGTGCCCAAAGCCTGGGACAGTTTGGGAAATTAATTCACTGCAAATTTGGGAATATAAACCATAATCAAAATAGGAAATTATTTTTCTATCTATTCAGCATGCTTCTTTGATAGATATAAAAGAAACATTTCTATCTTTTATTTCTGTAGTCATTAATTCATTGAACAGAGAATTGGGGATTTGTGCCCTCTCATGTCTTTGCCCTTGATGAGCTAGTTGTGTATGTTTAATTTGAAGCCTCTTCATATTGTAATTATAATGAGCAAGTCTCAGACTTTTAGAAAATAACAAAAGCAACTGTAGTCCACAAAAGGGGGCAATACCAAGGTTGTTAAACTTAGGCTTTTTCTGTACTTGTGGCCATCACTGGTACAGTTATAGGACATGCCATGCTGAAGCAGCTCTTTGATTAGATGAGCTCCAAACATCTTACAAGCCTGCAAATGGAAAGCACTTTACTGTGACAGCATCAGTCAGTTTGCAGTGCGTATGCCTGGGCTGTGGTACCCAAGCAGTCTTAAAATGACCTGCCACTGCGAGCAAATAATGGAGTAAACACGGCAAACAGCAGCAAAGCTGACTTCTCAGTGTAGATGGTTGTTATGTATCATATATATGAGAAATGTCATTTGAATAATTCCTACTGCAGGCTTCTTTAAAACTCTATCAAAAGTATGGCATAACATACAGAAAATAATTTATGGTGAGGATTCATAGCTCCTCCCTTCAATATGTTACTCATTCCTCACCAGTCTCAGAGAAAGACTAGAGTTTCAGGATGTGAAAACTAAAATAAAATAAACCCCTGAGGAAAAGGGAGTATTTACAGTGTTGTGCAGTGTTGTTTGTTTTTTCCCTCTGAGCCATTCTATAGCCTGGTTTTGATTGTTTTCTGGCTTTATTTTTTATAGTTATTTTCTGACTTTCACATACCATATTTAGAAGGGATATGGTTAATTAGATGTCTTACCTTATTTGTGTGTTAATTGTGTAGTCATGATAACTTAATGTTTGTAGTAAGTTATTAGCTGGCTTCGTCTATTTTTCCTCTATGCAGTCTACAATTTAAATATATTGATTTAAATATAAAGGAGTTTCAGGGAGGAGTGAAATCTCTTGTAAATGCAAAATATCTGAAGCATAGACTTTCTTGTGCTGAAAAATGCTTTCCCGAGCACTTTCAGGCTTTGGGCTATGAGAATGTATGCTGCTTCTTTTTCCAGGCTTACCTCTTTCGGTGCTAATAATGGTATATTTGGTACAGGCCATGTATAAATTTAATAAGAAGCAAGCACTTCTCAGTCTTGTAGCTGTAGCCATGTTAGGCTGTGGCTGGCATGGCAATGAGGACTACCTGCCTTCTTACCAAATTCTTCTGCAGTGAAAAGTTGTAATGGCCTTTAAATACATCCTTGACCTTACAAATTTTTAGTAAATTTAATACTCTTGTCCAAACCCTTTATGTTAAAAATGAGAAGCAGTAGCTTTTGAAATAGAACTTCTTTTGTAGTAAAAGTTTCTTTTCTGGGTGTGAAAGGGTGCTCTGTGTGTGAGACAGGTACTGGTGGTTTGATTTCCCTCCCCCCCCATCTAGCATTTGCAGTCTGAACATTTCTGAAGATGTAAATGTCAGTGTTACATAGATGAGCCTAAATTATTTTTTAATAAACTTCATAAGCTTCATGTGAACACAGTTTTCTGTGCCATGAGTAGACTTGTTCCAAAACAGTCATGCTATATTTCTTTTTTTTTTTTTTTTTACTTACAGAAGAAAATGGTTTTCTGATGGAAATTCTGGATTTGTTCTGTGCAAAACTCATATGGAGTAAAAATTGTTAGAATGGTCTCAAGCACACAGAGTACCATGTGATCTGAAGTAGATGTTGTGTTGACAGAATCCTCTAATAGTCTGTACTTTGATTTGTTCAAAGTGTAAAAAGTATCCTACAATCACATGATCTCTTTTTGCTTTTCAAGAAATACTGTTTATTATTCTCTGTATGTATTTGGACTGAAGCTGTGCTTGGCTCAAGTAGCTGCAGTTCAGCCGAGTTCCAAATGGGTCTGTCCATTTAACAAATGTTGGGCTTAACTCTCGAAGTCGGGCCATTCTAGCGATTTAGTAATCTATTAAATTGATATAATGTAGAGGTTAATAGTGTAAGTATTTTTTAAAATGCAACTTCATCATTACCTTCTTCCTCTTTGCATAGATAAAATCCTTGATCTTACGGCTGCAGAGGCTTCAGGAAAAAGCAGTACAGGAAGATGACTATGATAGAGGTGAGAGTTGTTCCCTCTTTCCCCCACTAGATCATGCTGGGTTTTTTTCCCTTCCCCCTTCTTCCTCTACTGATTTTATTTTACCTTTGCTACATAGGGTGGTGAGTAGGTGTGGAAGGTGAGTTCAATGAACTGTGTTGTTTATTCTGATGTATGGCAGGAAACAAATTAAAGAATGAAGTAGATCAGCAGCCAGTAGCAACAGCTTTTATTTTCTTGAGTCACATCACCATGTAGGAAGGTTGGAATCCAAATATCCACCATCTGGATCAGCTGTTTTGAAGCAGCATGACTTGAAAAAATGAAGAAATGAATTAAAGCTTGGAAAAGAGAAAGGACAGGCACTGGCTGCTGACAGAGTGCGATTTGTTGCTTGCTACATTTAGTCATGACACTACAGCAGGTCTCAAACGCAGAAATGAGGTCAGTAGCTATTATAAAAGTGAATGATACCATCCTGTGGGATTAACTTGATGTCTGCTGAGTTGAAACAAAACCACCGTCTAGAGAATATGGTGATGATACAGCTGCTGGCAAATATCTGTATTTGAATAGTGCTTTTCCTTTCAAATGCCTTGGTGCTTCTGATAAGCTCTGTGTGTGCGTGTGTTAATAAGTAGAGCATCTATTAACATACATCTTGGATTTCTTATTTCTCATGGTAGTCTGTATTCAGGTACTCGTATTTTTGATAGTATTCTTCCTGCTAGATCTATCTTCATTTGGGAAGCCCTGCAAATGGTTCAGTAAAATCTGCATGGGTACATCAGAGAAATAAGGTTGGAAAAAAAATAGTTTTTTTCCTGCTGCTTTTTTATTCTCAGCTTTTAGGGGACTGGGGAGTGGCCAGACTTGTGGTTTGCCTTTCAAAATCAATGTGTGAAGCTTTGCAGTTGTACCACGTTTTTTTTTTCCCTGCCCCCAAAGGTGTCCTTCAAGATGATAGAAATGTGTTTTAATAGTGTCCAGGGAGTAGGTGTGTAGCCCTTTTACAAGAGTGGTTCTGCTGGCCTCTTAAACACTCATCTGTATGTAGGAGAAAAGTCTGCTACTGTCGCAAGTCATTCTTTTAGTGTGGCCTTTTCCAGTGGGGAAAACTTAGCTGTGTTACAAGCTGAAGATGTTGTAGATATTCATGGGTTTAATCTCTGTCAAATAAACATTATTGATGTGTATGCTTTACATGTGTAACACTCGTAACTCTTCTTCTTTTTTTTTTCTCTTTCTTTTAAATGCCTCTGGGTTGAGCTCCCAGTTGGAGACTTCCTGACAGCTGTGTACTCAGTGCGCATGGTTCCCATGCGTTACAGCTGGGATTTTCTGGGCAGTCATCCACTCTGACAGGAGTATTTTACTATATCAGGTGTGACATCTGCCTGCAATGCCACATAGTTATTGATCACAGCAAAAAATGATGACTTGCCTAAGTTTGCACAGAAAGTTGTTATGCAGTTTTCCTGGGTGCTAGTACTGTATCTTCAAAACAGGACTATCTTTATGTTGACCATTGTTTTATTAATTACCCTTTCCAGTTTCCACCCTAGTTGTCGGGCAGGTAGCACAAAGGGTGGTTTGCAGAGTCCTGCATTAATTCCCTTCCTAAAACCAGTCTGGCTGAAATAGGATTTCACCATGTGTTATGGGCACAGCTTCCAGACAGCAAGAGTGGCAGCAATGCAGAGGTGGAGAGGAGCATCCACAGGTGAGATTGCTGTTTTCTGCATGACACCTGGCATATATATGCAGAAAACAATTGTCCTGATACGGGACTAGGTACTGAGATGCTTGGGAGACTTTGCTTTATATTCCTCCATCCTTTTGAAAACTATAACTCCACCTTCACACAAGTGTTTTCAGGTAAAATGCCATGCTCCATGCATGCACATGACCACACATTCTTAATTTTATCAGTCCTTTGAGTCCTTGACCCATTTACTGTCATACTGGTCTTTGTTCCTCGTCTGATAGAACTGTCAGCTGGGTTTTTTTAATGACTACTTCTCATTATGTTCATGGTATCTGAACTGGCTTCCTTGTTTCCTTTTGTGAATCACAGGCAGCATATCTTCAGGGAAAGACTTGCACGGAGAAAGTGCAGTGCTGCAAGAAGAATTAGAGCTGTGACCTTCCTTCATTCTCTTGCAGTTGCAAGCTTTCCACCTTTGGTTTTAGAGCTATGTCGCAGTTCCTAGTGGAGAACAAAGTCTTGCCTGGCATAGAGTGAGGTTTGAAAGCTTATTAAAGAGCTTACAGGTTGGCCCAGTACCAATTTCTGTTCAAGTGGAATCTGTAATTAGCCTTCTTTAAAGGGATCTTATTGCCAGATATTGCTAGCATGGAATGGAATTGCTAAACATTCAGAGCTGTGATGTGGGACATAAATGGAAATATATTATCAGGGAGTGGGAGAAGCTGACAGGGTGTATTGTGAAGGGCTGAGGATGTTTTAACTATAATGCCAAAAAGAAAATTATTGTCCCCATAATTCTGGGGGACTTCTTTGAATATGGAGCGAGCCCTCTGTTAAGAGCAAAACTGTTTTGAATGGGAGATGGTGGTAGTGCTGTGTGTGGTGATAGCATGGGTCTTGCTGATTTGGGAGTGCTGCAGGGGAAGGGGTGATCTGGTATGATGTGAGTAGCTGCAAAATACCCTGTATGTGAAAGATGTGAGTAGAGGGGAAGGAGGGCAGGTGGAGAGGGGGTATGGGTGGCCATACCCCCAAATGGAAAACAAAATTGTCAGTAAATACATTGTTATATGTAACTGTTATCACTTCAGTGGTAGAGGCTCTTCAGCTTCAACTGTTGGCAAGAGCTCAAGTGATTTTGACTTTGGCTCTGTAAGAGCTATCCAGTCTTTCAGGAGAGAGGGCTCTGTTTTTAACAGCAGTTCAGTAGGAGGGAGATGTGTTAGCACTTAAAACTGCTCAAAGTGCTTAGGACTGGTTTCTGCAGTCTGAAGCTGCAAACTTAGCAATGAAAGTTTGCAGTAATGAAAGCCAAGCCTCTACCATCTGATATTGCTGCTTTCCTGCTCTCTAGAGCTTTTTGAAAGCTCCCTTAGTTTATAGTAACTTTTTGAAACTGAAGTTTAAGGAAAGCGGCGCCCATACAGAGGATGGAAACGATGCATTGTGCGATTGGTTGTGGCAACAAGACTAGGATGCTTACCTGTGCTGTGCTTTCTTAAAGACCTGCCAGCATGGTTAGGGTATTGGTGTAGAGGACTGTCAGTCATTCACACAGCTACAATTTCTTCCTGAATTTCTGGCAGCCCCATGTTTATTGGGTGTGTGTGTGTATGTTTGTTCTGAGAGTGTTGAAGGGGCTGCTTGGGGCAGAGGATGTTCTCCTGTGCCGAGTTCATCCTCCTCTGCTAGGGGATCCTGAGCACTGTGCTGCAAGACCTGCAGGGTCCCCTCTCTACTATAGCCACATAGGTTGTTCCAAATGCAGATGTTCCTTGGCTGTGAAATGCACGTTCAGTGAGACAAATCTTCTCGCTCCTGGCTTAAGTTTAAAAAGGAAACATTAGGTTGTTACATGTTTTATACCTTGTTCTGTGTTTTGAGGTGATGAAATATCAGGAAGTTGCCTATTTTTTCTGTATTTACTTGTAGTCTCCTCTTGATGGCCACATTACTGTGTATTTTCAAAGCAGGTACGGTACCATGGGAATATAATAAGTGTTTTGCCTTGCATAGCATATAGTAAAAATTGGTCTGTTCTCCAAGGATCACTTGGAGTGTTGTCATGGCTCATTATTCATGATGGAGCTTGACAGCTCCAAGGTTAAATGCACTGCTGAATACAGGAGGTTAAAAAGAAGAAAAGAAGCAGCTTATTTTGTGTCTGTATAAGTTGTACGTGCAGTGGAAGCGAGTGTATTTTGCTCAGTACAAATCTATTGCCCAAAGATTTAAACTCCTTTTCCTATTCTTTGCTGCTTGAACTTCTCAACATTGCCTGGTACAAGGGGCAACTGGTTTGGTAACTGTTAGGACTGAGTCTTGCTGCTGAATTCTACCATTGGTTCATATGCCATCTTGTTACTCAGAAATAAGTTTCTGCTGAGCTCCAGATCCTTTCTTATAAATTATTATCATAGAATGATAGAATAGTTAGGGTTGGAAAGGACCTTAAGATCATCGAGTTCCAACCCCCCTGCCACGGGCAGGGACACCTCGCTCTAAACCATATCGCCCAAGGCCTCGTCCAATCAATTTTAAACTCTTGTTTGTAGGAATGTGAGTGTATGGATGTATTGCTTGCAACTGGTAGGGAAGGGTAATTTCCCTGTACAGATCATAGTCAGAGTTAGGGCTCTCCAGTGAAGGTCATTGAGTTGATCGGAGCAACTCCCCATCTGTTCAGCATTGGCAGCTAGAAGACGGAAACATTTAATGCTTGTTATGGCAAAACCTAACTTATCCTACCAATGAAAATTCACCTATAAATATATTTAATGTCATGTGAGCCTTCAGTTATTTTAGCTGAGATATCAAGGCTTGGGCTATATGAATTGGTGAGCTGCCATGGTCTGTGCTAGAGCACTGTGTGCTCTGCAGAAAAATAGCCTATGTTGTTTTGTTGTTTTCTTCTTTTTTTTTTTTAACCTCTCCTCTCTGCTTGTGCTCTTTGAGACCTCTTCATGCCAATTGCCCTTTTGGTGTCTCGAGAACTGAAGGGCATCAAGGAGAGAGCCCTGTGCTGTGTAGGAGTTGGAGCCTTATTTCACGCATTTTCCGTTAATCAGAACTGTAGGAAGGAAGGACTTCATACCAGTTAGTCTCCTGTACATTTACACTGGCAGAAATGCTTTGCTCACTTTCAGAGAGAGTAAAAGAGTTGAGTATGATTTTAGGTAGTATCTGGCTTGAAAATGTAATTTGTTAAATAGTATTCAGAGGGAGGTCTTGGCCACTTCTTACGTGGTACTTGCGAACACTGAGTTATGCAATAGCTCCAAAGTCCCGGCCAGAATGTATAGCTGCTTGG